CAAGCGAGAACCACGTTTTGAAAATGACCCGCCCTCAATCCGTGAAGATGTTGCACCTTCAAAACAATGGATATGCGCGGCTTTAGGGCGAGAACCACAGTCTCAAAAAGGACCACCCTTAATCCGTGAAACTCCCGCACCTTTTGAAAGCGAATGCGCGCGGCGCTAAGGCGAGAACCACATTTTGAGAACCACCCGCCCTCCACCAATGAAACTCTGACATTATTTAGAACGGGTGTGCGCGGCGTTACCGCGAGAGCCAAATTTTGGAAACCGCGCGCTCTCCAGCGATGAAGCTCGTGCATGTTTTTCTCAAGGCGGATGTGCGCGGCACCAAGGCGAGAACAACAGTTTGAACACCACCTGCCCTCCATCCGTGAAGCTCTTGCAAATTTTTAAGCTTCAGGATCATGAATTGTGAGGAAATCCTTGGCGAGGCCGTCGGGCTTCTTGTCCAGCACTTTTTGGGCCTCTGGGAGGTGTCTGGTCACCACGGCCGGATCCCACCATTATTGTCACAACGCACCCCTGGACGAGTATGGGAGATGGGAGCCGATCTTTGACAAGAGGAGGAGGCGGCATGAACCGCAGGAGGTTGAGAGAGGAAGGGGGCGTGGAGGACGGCGGGGGATGAGGCGAAGGAAGAAGAGGATGAGGAGAACGAGGAGGGGGGGGGAGGATGCGGAGGAGCGCCTCGTCGAGGAGGGGGAGGAGGCGGGGGAAGAGGAGGAGGGGGCGGAGGAGGCGGAGAAGCGCCTCGTCGAGGAAGAGGACGCGGCTGGGGAGGAGGAGGAGGAGGATGCGGACGATGACGTGCTTCTCTCGTCGAGGAAGACGAGGAAGTTTTTCTTCTCCTCCTCCTTCTCCTTCTCCTCTGTCGCCTCCTCACCGGCGACGACGCGAGGCTCCTTCTGTTTCTCCTTCAATCTTCCTTTTCCTCTTACAATGCCCCTTCACTCAGCCCAATCTCCTTCCCCCACCCTCTCGAAACAACTGCCTCCTAATCCTACTACTTCTGCACCCCTGGCTATCATCCCCACCATCCACCGTACTCGTCCTGGTCGCCATCTTTCTCCTCATCCTCAAAGGCGCGGAGCCTGGGATTGGAGGATGAGGAGCATGTGGAGGAACAGTGATATAAGGAGACATGCGAGGAAGCGATACACAAGATAATGAGGAGCAGGGGCAGGAACGGGTGGAAGAGACGCGGGCATAAGCACGGTTCCATCTTTGGACGCACACCGCACCCACAGACAGGATGCCGTGCCACATCACATAATCAGCCAGCCATGCACTATACATCCCTTCCATCTCCTCCCTGCGCCTTAGGCTCGAGCTCACCTGAGCATGAACAGCCTGGTGCTTTTCGCTCCTCTTCCTCTTTCACTTCTCCTGCATGCCCCGGCACGAGGTTCTTGAACGGCTGAGCGCTGCCCTTAATCCTGTCCGCGCAATGCAGCCGATTCCAGTTTTGTGGGCTGTACAATTCCACCTTGCCAAGTAATACAGCTTGCCTTCTGTGGAAGTGTTTCGTTTTGTGCTGTGCTGCTGTGTGTGTGTGTGTGTGCATGTGCGTGTGCGCGTGTGTGTGTGGTGTGCGTGTGCGTGTGCGTGTGCGTGCGCGTGCGCGTGCGCGTGCGCGTGCGTGTGTGTGTGTGTGTGTGTGTGTGCGTGTGTGTGTGTGCGTGTGGGCTGTGCTGCTGTGTTCCGTTGGAGCGCACACTGCAACACACACAGGCCGTCTGCCAAGAACTCCGAATTCTGATATGTGGGCACCTCTGCGCGCACATGCCGTCATCCCGCGCCTGTCCGGGCTCCTCGGCCGGAGTGGCTGCAGCAAGCCTGCTCCTCCTCGACCACCCGTGTCATCCACTTCGATGTGCTCTACCCTCTTCATCCTCAAAATCCTCTCCTTCCTCCTCGTTCGCCTCGTCCCACTTCTCAAGTTCTTCTTCCCATTACCTATATGCCTCCTCTCTCCACGATCCAACAACAACACTCACGTGCAATCGCAGTCCCCCCTGCCGCCTCTTTCCGGACTGCGTGAAAGATGTTCACGCCCGCCGTCAAGTTGCACTCGGACAGCGGGTCGGCGGGCATCGGCATCCCTCCCCTTCAGCCCTTCTGGTCACGCTGCTTTCAGTCAGGCTTCTCCTGCTGCTGCTCTTCTTCGTGGTCCTCGTCCACCCCCTTGTTCCCTGCTGCTACTGCTGATCGTCCTCCTCTTCTACGTCCTGGTCTTTTTCCGCGTCCTCGTTGAGAAGAACAAGAAGCACACGCATAAACTTTCGGAGGTCCGAACGGATTTCTTGAGTGGGCGCTGACCCCCCTCCCTGGCGCGCCCCGAGGCGGCGTCTGGGGACTTCTGCGCCGATCGAAGAAATCCGTGCGAACCTCCGAAAATCTATGTTCATGCATCTTTCCGTTTTCGTCAGAGCAGGCTGAGGGGAAGGGGAACATGTTTTCCGCCCCCGACAGCACGAGGCGAGCCTGACGCCTGTGGTTGCCTCTCGATGCGAACCGCTGTGGACAAGGAAACGTCAAAACAGGACGGAGAAAGACTTCCAGGTCCTGGACTCGGCGATGCTTCGCTGAATGGTCCCCGACAGCGAAACACCGCACGATGCCACTCGGCTCTCGGGTCGTTGCTTGGCTCTCCGGCGGCCGTTCGGGACGATCCGTGCACCCTGGGACTGCTTTCGGCGAGGCATGACTGCCAGCAAAAGGCATCCCGAGGCTGGAAGACACCAGAGAGCCATCCAGAACCTCAGAGCACCTCGCACCTGAGCCTATCCCCCCCAGAGCCTGTGCCCCCCCTGGCGTTGCCCCTGCTAAAGTCGGCCCGCATCACAAGGACGCGCGATAGGGATGCAATGGCCTTGGAAGGCCGTTTCGAGGCTCTCCGAGCGGGGCGCGGCCAACGAAAGTGACCAAGGATGGACCGAGGAGGCAAGGATGCAAGGGTACCCTTGGGAAGGTTGCCCATCCTTACCATGCGTTGAGCAGGGACCGACCGTCCTGGTACTCCTATAGGCCTACCACGACATGTTCTTAGAACCCCAAAATGTTCTACGAACACAAACAAGGGCATCATAACACAAACCTGATGTGTTAAAACAAGACGGCCTGAGCCAGAAATGTTCGAAGAACATCGCGTGCAAACCACAAACATTTCTTGGAGCACTCTTTGGTAGGCCTACAGGTGAGCTAGGACGCTTCGCCACTGCTTGAATCGGGCGTTGGCAAAACTGGGTTTAGTGGGACCTGGTTGAATGATGTATACTGGGGGGCGCCCCCCAAGCCCCAATCCACTAACCGGAACTGCCTTCATCCGAAAAAATAGCATCTACGGCAGACCTGGTTTAGTTAGTGATTCTGACCAACTGAAGTGCTCCGGGGCCCTACTACTAACCGGGTCCCCTTACCTGGGGTCCTGGCTATACCCGATTGAATGCGGGTCGACTGCAACCCCTCCCTCCGCGTCTGCGTGCAAGGCACGCCGGCGCCGCCAGGGGCCTCGAGGCCGCGCCGCCTCCGCGCGGCCCCCCCCCCACGGGGCGCGTCAGCCGCCGCTCCGCGCGGGGATGTCGAACACGAGCGGCGGGTGCACGCAGTCGTAGTCCTCGTCCACCGAGCACGCGTTGACGAAGTGAGTGGTGCCTGAGGCCAGCCGCGGGCCAAACGGGAGGGAAGGTTTCGGGCCTCCTCCTCCTCCTCCTCCTCCTCCTCCTTTTCCTCCTACTCCTCCCTCCCCCACCCCCCCCCTACCTCCTCCTCTCTCCTCCTCCTTCCTCCTCCTCCTCGCCCTCCTCCCCCTCCTCCTCCTCCTCCTCCTCCTCCTCCTCCTCCTCCTCCTCCTCCTCCTCCTCCTCCTCCTCCTCCTCCTCCCCCTCCTCACCGTGCGGGTGGTACGGTGGGTGGAAAAAAAAGTGTCCACACCCGTCGCGCCAATCTGATACGACATCGAACTGCGTCGCCATCATGCCTGATTGTCTTCGCGATGCCGGGGTGGACACTTTTTGTCCGGGCACCGTAATGGGGGGTGACCCAAAGGGAGGTGAAGAAAAAGGGCCCTACGGGGGCCCTGTTCTTCACCCCCGATTTGGGCCACCCGCCATTACCCCCCGCCCGAAGGTTCGCAAAAAGAAAACGCACCGCTACCGCTACCGTTCCGTCCCTTTCGCCTCGCTGGGGCTCTCTCTGGGAGGCCTCCGTCGCCACGGCTGGCTTCGCTTCGAGATTCTGGCCAGAACGCCCCCCGGGAGAGGTCTGGAGTCCGGGGAGTAGTGGTATCGGTATCTTTCGGTACCCCCGACGGTGAGGGCCAAGGGGAGGGAGGGCGGGCTTCTGATCACGAGTCGGCGGCGAGCCCCGGGGGGAACACAGAGGAGGGGCGGGCCGTCTCGGAATGCTCGGCAGTCCCCCGGGGCTGCTGAGAAGTCTCCCGGCCCTTCCCCGATAAGGCGCAGATAGCAGAGGGCCGGCCTTCTGAGAAGCCCCGCCGCCCTCTGAGGAGGCCCTCCCCTTCTCACTTCCCCCCCTCGCTCGCCGCCGAACGAGGATGGAGGCCTCACACATGGGACCACACCCACCGCGGCTGACGTCGCCAGAGGCGGAGCCCCAGCCCGCTCCCGGGGGAGGGCGCGCTGGCAGCAAGGCGCCTGCACCCACTCCCCTCCTCCCTCCTCCCTCCTCCCTTGCCCCCCCTCCCTCCTCCTTCCTCCCTCTCCCCTCTTCCCTCCTCCTCCTCCTCCTCCTCCTCCTCCTCCCTCCTCCTCCCTCCCCCCCCCTTCCTCCTCCCTCTTCCCTCCTCCCTCCCCCTCCCCCACCCCTCCTCCTCCTCCGCCTCCTCCTCCTCCTCCTCCTCCTCCTCCATTCCTTTTCCTTCTGAATAACTCCCTGTCGCAACTCGAGGCCAGTCGGAAGGGCGGGCCGGGCGTTTCGCCTGCGACCTCCGTACCATTTCTGATCCTGAAGCTTTACGCGTGTGCAACAACTTGGCACGGAGGGCGGACGGTTTTGAACATGCTGCGCATTTTTGGTATGTTAAAGACATGTTTTAATTGGGAAGTGAGGGCGGGATGTTCTCAACATGGGGCTCGTGCCTTGTCGCCACGAACATTGTTCTGAACAAGTTGCTAGCGCTTCGAAGCTTGAGGGCGGATGGTTTTCAACATGTGGCTCTCGCCATCGCGCCGTGCACATCAGTTTTAAACCTGTGCAGAGAGTTTTGCAGACGGAGGGCGCGTCGTTTTCAAAATGTGGCTTCCGCCTCAGCGCCGCGCGCCCTCGTTTCAAGACATGTTAACTTTTCACTGATTGGGGGCGGCTCCTTTTCAATATGTGTCTCTCGCCTTAGCGCCGCGCGCTTTCGTCTGAAACATTTGCAGGGGTTTCACGGATTACCATGGTCAATGTACCAGAACGTCTGTGTTGGACGCACTCACGAGTGTTAGGGCGCGTTGATTCGCGTCGTTGAAACCCCAGGTTGATTCGTGGCGTTGCGGTCCCGAGAGTGGTGGTTTGGCACGCTTCAGGATCTTCAAACGGTTGTCTCCCAGGGGGTTACTACCCTCAATGGGAGTGAATCTTTGCAGTGGCCTGTGAAGACGGAGCTTGGGGGAGGGTGTGTTCCAACATCGTTGGTGGGTCTTGGGTCTACACGACACTGGTCCTCCTCCTCCTCCTCCATTCCTGTTCCTTATAAATACCTCTTCCCTGTCGCGCCCCGAGGCCCGTCGGAAGGGCGGGCCGTACGTTTCGCGTGAGCCGCCTGACCTTTTCTGAGCCTGGATATGAAGAACTGGTGACATCTTCACAAATGGAAGACGGGTCGCTTCCAACATGTGACTCTCGCCTCAGCGCCGCGCACATTTGTTTTGAACATTTGCCCGAGCTTCACGGATTGAGGACGGGTTGTTTTCAAAATGCGGCTCTCGCCCTATCGCCGCGCACATTCGCCCCAAACAAGTGCTGAGAGTTTTGCGGATTGAGGGCGGGTGGTTTCAAATTGTGGCTCTCGCCTCAGCGCCGCGCGCATTCGTTTAAAGCATGTTGCAGGAGTTTCACGGCTTGAAGGCGGCTTCTTATCAAAATGCGGCTCTGGCCCAAGCGCCGCTCACACTCGTTGCAAATGTTTGCAAGATGTTCATTGGTTCTCATGGCAAACGTACCAGAAATGGTGTTGTGCAACGATTCAAGACTGTCAAGGCGCAACAGTTGCGTTGATTCGCGGTGTCGGAATTCCAGAAAGTGCGTTCTCGCACGATTCAGACGTGTCAAGACGCAGTAGTCAGGTTGATTCGTGGCATTGAATTTCTGAGAATGGTGTTTAGGCGTGCTTCAGGATTTCCAAGCGGTTGTCCCCAACTGTGCACTTCCCTCAATGGAGATGAATCCTTGTAGGGACCTGCGAAGAGGGAGCTTGGAGGCAGGGTGTATTCGAACATCGATGATGGACCTTGGGTATACACTGGTCCTCCACATCCTCCTCCTCCTCCTCCTCATCCTCCTCCTCCTCCTCCTCCTCCTCTGCTCGTCTCTCCACCGATGGTGCGGGGGGACCACACCGCATCGGTGATGTATCGGCGACGTCGGGACGGAGCATGTCGGGCCCTGGATCGCGCCGCATCCCCGACGCATCGGCGATGCGGAGCAGTGCCCGCTGGCCCCACCTGCTCCGGCCACACTTGGGGAGGCCCCGAGGGGTACGGGGTCGGGCGGCGAACGCATCCATTATCCGCGCCTTCGCAGTCTCGATTCCGGGGCGCGATCCCGCGGATACGCGGTCGCACCGATGCGTTCTGCTCCGCGGCAGAACGCCTTGTTTCCGAGGGGTTGCGGCCCAGGGGCCCGCGAGGCCGCGGATGCAGATGTCTTTCGCCCACGAGTAAAGGGAACAGTGGGCAGCCGTCTGATGGAGAAGGGCCCCCCGCGCCTCTTGAACGGCGTGCGAAGGAGCTTCCTATACCCACGACTTCGTTGCTGCTGCTGCTGATGTTGTTGTGTTGTTGTTGTAGTTGTTGTTGGTGTTGTTGTTCCCCTGCCACAAACGTAAACTGTTGGCTATCCGCGCGGATCGTGTGGATCCGCGCTGGGCCCCTCCGGCGCCACCCCTGGCGCGCTCCCCACGGCAGGGAGGAGGGCCCAGCGCAGATCCAAGAAATCTGCGCGGAGCGCCGACAACTTTATGCTTGTGGCATCGTTTATGTTGTTGTTGCTGTTGCTGCTGCTGCTGAGTGTGATCTACTAACCAAACAATTATTATTGTTGGACCCCCGAAGCGCTTTGGCGCTCCCGCCTCGGCGCCGGCTACATTTTCATTGAAAATGAGGCTCACGCTCGAGCGGTTTGGGAGCGCCCAAACCGGCCCCCAAACAACAACAACAACAACAACAACAACAACAACAACAACAACAACAACAACAACAACAACAACAACAACAACAACAACAACAACAGCAACAACAACAACAACAACAAAGAACAAAAACAAAAAACAACGTCGGATAGAACCTGGAGGGTCCGGGACCCGATTTTGAACCTGTTTGGAAGCGGGAAGGGAAGGAGGAAAAGGAGCCGAAGCCGGAGGAAGAGGAGTAGGAGGAGGAGCAGGAGGAGGAGGGACAAGGAGGAGGCAGGAGGGAGCAGCCAGGATGGAGGAGGGGTGGGGAAGAGGAGAAGACCCTCGGAAAATCCCTACGTCATGCCTCGAGAGACGTGACACCCTCAAACGAAACGTTTTCCGTCGCCTACCCTTGCAAGCATCGATCCATGAGATGAAACCTCCAACGCACTGCCGCGACTCCGCCACGGGTGCGCCCACAAAAAGATAGCAGCAATCGTTCACGATAGGTCACATCGGAACAACGGTTGGCTCGGCACGATGGCCGTCAGGACGGCTCGCGAAAAGCACACCTGCACACGTACAGATGGCACAAAAAAGCGCCCCAGGGGCTGCGTTTGCCCCGTGCGAGGCGCTTTCCGTTCGCGTGGACTCGGGACATAAAACGCGACGTGTGTTCCACAGGCTGGCAATCTAGCACAATGAATCATCGACCTGTGCCTTCCGCCACTCTTCCTTTTGCCACTGCATTCCCCTCCCGTGCCCGGCCATCATTCTCAGATCATCCTGACCGCCTTTCTCCTTCGACAGGGGCCCCCTCGGACAGAATACAGGACGCACAGCCAACGCGTACCGCGCCGTTTCGAATGCTTGAATTCTCCCACCCTTTGAACGGATGCGCTGGAAATGACCTCGGGAGCATTGCTGGCCCCGCTCGAGGCCCGCCCTGTTCCCGGAGCACATACCGGGCCAACAGAACAAATTGATTATTGAGGGTCTTCCTCAGCATCGTCGTCGACCGCAACTGTCGACGTGCGCAGAGAGCGATCTGCGTTCGCAGACGCTCGTTGCCCTGTGAAGAACACCTCAGATAGACGATCGGCAAAGAGACGCTGCCGTTTGGCAGACCCCCCCTTCCTGCGAATGGCGGCCAATGCGTTGATTGCGTTCGCAGCCTCCGAACCATTTGCAGGCCCTGTACGCGTCCGCCCGATGCACGTTCGCGGCGCGGTCCGCCTTCCAGGAAAAAAATAAAGGGTTTCATGCGCCCTTCCCCCCCCATGAACTCGTCGCTCGCTTATCTCTAGCGACGGGC